TTATACAAATGATTAGGTGGACGCAAACCATGACATGATACGGTAGCGATCAGCACATCACGATACAGACTGTTGGATCCATCAAGGATATAGGTGGCTCGCTTAACCTCCTCGGCTCGCTTAACCTCCTATCGCCGATCTCATGCTCCCTTAGCACCATCATGTCATCCTTATATTCGCGTCAGGTTTGGCGTTCATTTTGATGGAAGAAGGGGTTCTGTCAGAACCGTGTGCCTTCTTTATCGGCCTCAACTGGGCGACCCGATCGGGCAGGTCGGGCGACCAGGGCCGGCAAATTTAACGCAAAAGGATGCCAAGCATGGGCGGCCGGCGTCGAGACTAAATACATTTGATTCGATTGATCCTATAATTTTACGATTTCGGCTAGTCTATCGTCCTCTGAAGGTCTAGTACTCTCTCATTTCTGACGATCGTGTTCTTCGGGTCTATTTGTGTTCTCAGGAAGTCCCCGCTCTCGGGGTCTAAAAACGATACACTCTCTACTTAATAGGCGGCGGGTCCTACCAAGCTTGGCAGATATATGACGCTGCGTACACCACCACCCTTCTTGGGCGCCTGTGTGGAACGGCCTTGGTTGCCTTCAGTTAGTTCCATGCCCACAGTTGGAAGGCAACGCTGCTGTGCGTGTGACAGGTCGGAGGATAAAGTGTGCTTGCTGGGTTGCATAATCGTGCGCTCAGTGGTCAGAGCACTCCCTCGATCTTTCTTCTGATGGGCTGCTACTTCGACAACTACTATGTTCCGGATCCCATTTTCACAAATGTTTTTCACGTCCCACAAAACATTCCACAGTCATCAAACATGCGCGTGATTGCATCTCTTTTGTTCCTGGCTACGGTATTCAATTCCTTCCAAGCTCCCATGATTTCTCGAGGTAGGCCGCCATGTCCCACGCGTTCTCACCACGTACCTGCCCCCTTTGTACGAAAAATTCACTGGGATGATACACATGCTCGAAATAAAATCTCCGAGAGTTTTTCATGTGTATGTGATGAGCACTTTTAGACGCCCCACATCCGGGTCGCCTAGTACTACGCTACCCTCCTCCCCCCCCCC